GGCGGCGGTGATCCAGGATCCTGCCCAAAGAGGGTCCCGCAGTTACCGCCCACTTCGAGGCGGGCTCGGGGAGCCGAGGGACTTCGTCAGCTTAGTTCAGAGCCCAGGAGGTGGCTTGGTGGTGGTGAAAGGGCCTGAACGTCTCAGCCCTGACGGTCTAGGCCAGGTTTGTGCGCTGGGGCCAAGACTCAAAGGCCAAGGTCTCTGCCTCCAACTGTTCCACCAGCCAGCCAGTGTACTAGGCGCAAGCAACCACAGCCCACTCCCCTGCGAACCCAGGACGGGCCATTCATCTCCAAAAGCCTTTTCTTCCTCCTCTTCTGTTTCTTCCCATTTGTATCCCTCTGGATGCAAACCAAGAGAGGCGCCCAAATATAAAAGTCAAGTCGAATTGAAAGCGTATGGCTTGTGCGCTCCCAACTCCCTCCTCCTCTTTTAAAATTGTGTTTCAAAACAACATGGTGACTTTTGGACAAGATTTTTCTATTTCGCCCACACCACAATAGAGATGCAATGAATGCTGCTGGTGAAATGTTTGGCTGTGTCAAATTCAGTCCCGCAGGCTGGCTTGGGCCAGCACTGGGGCTCCGCTTTGTGTTATGTTCACGGAGAAGATATTAATTAAAAGAAATACATGATTAAAAAGTAATGAGTTGAATAAAAATTATCTCAGCTCATTTTCTGATTATGTTAATTGTTAAAAACCCTTCAATCACGCCGTTGCAGTCAATGGGCTTTAATGTGAAATTAGTGGGCTCTTGATAACTTACAGTCCAGAATAATCCTGGCGGTTTATTCATCATTCCTAATAACAAGGATGTTGCTAAGAACAGAAATTTTACATGATTTTGATACATTCAGCCCTTCCCCCCACGTGTCATTAAAAAAAAAAAAAAAAAGGCTTAGCCTGCCTGCGATTTCCAACTTCTCTTTCCACGGATCGACCGCGGCCTTGGCAAGGACTTGAGTTTGCGTTCCAGCCGCTTCCGCTCCCAGCGCGCACGCAGCCCCTCGCTATTGCGTCGGCGGGTTGCTGCTTGCTGGTACCCGCTCAGCAGCCAGGAGCCTTGGGGAACCCTAGCGCGTAGCTTCCCCGCCTGGCAAGGCCAGGACGCCTAGTTGCCCACTCGGCTGTGCTGAGGGATGAGGGGAGAAAGAACGGAATTCGCAGCTAAGAGGGCTAGAGGGGCGGCGCGGCTGCTTGGGGACTGGTAGCCAAGCGTTGGGCGAGTAGGGCTGTGCGTAAAAGGGTTTAGACAGTCGTGATGCACCCGCGGGGTTGCAGGACAGGGGCAGGCCGGGTTGTGGCGCATGTGTGTTTTTGTGTGCTCGCCTCCGGCTTGCGCGCTTTCGGGGCTTTGGATGCCACGGATTTTGAGGACCCACCCAAAGCCCTGAGGGGGCGGAGGGTCAAGCGAGACAGGGAAAGGGTCCACTAAGCCTCTGAGCCTGGGCTGCGCTACCGACAAAGTGCCTAATGCAGAGTAGGCTCTTAATAGGTTTGTATTGGATCTAAACGAAAGCTACTGAAATTCGTGCATTATTCTAATGAGAGATGACGGCCGGGTGTTCTCAGCAGCCCCAGGCCTTCATCTGAAAGTTCCCACTCTACCCGAGACGAAACTCAGAGCCGAGGTGGGGGCGAAGGGCGGGTAAGGTACTGATGGAGGGTGAGGAGGGATGTTTCACATCCTCTTCTGACATATCTCACTACTAAAACGCTTTTCACTCTCTATGAGCAAAGGAAAGAAGAGCCCGCACCCTCTGTTTTGACTTCTTGGGAAACATAGTGTCTCTCAAATTGGGCCTCCGAGAAAGGTGTGACCAGGGAGAGTTGCGGGGTCCTGGGGCCTTGGGTGGGTGTGGGTGACGGAACTGCCCGAGGCCAGAGGATAGGCAAGACGTCGAGGAAACCAAAACTGTCCACTGGAGGCGCCTTAACGCCTTGGTCAACGAGGGCTGGTTTTGCACACGCCAAGGGACTCAAGCCCCATTTTTCTCCCAAAAGAACTGAGGGAAATTGCATTTCCCGAGGTCTCTCTGAAAATACGTACATACACAAAAGTCTATAGATACTTGTATGCAGAAAGGGGAGGGTGGAAGGAGTGTGGGGGGCGGAGCGGGGGCGGGGAGAGTTATTCTCAGAACTTGAGGTTCTGTGTCTCAAAGTGCCTTTTTCAAGGCTTCCGCCTTTAAGACTACCTGGATGGGATGGGGGTCTGGTGTTTTTAAATTTGTCTTTCTGTTTCTCTGGCTGCTTTACAAGAGCAAATTTATTTTAAAGACTTTTAAATATATGTATTTTCCACCTTTTCAAGCCCCAACAGTAAGGGGTCTTCCCTTGGGATTGGGGGGCAATGGTGTCTCGGGCTGGCTGGGACGAGTCCCAAGGCTAATTCTCCTTGTTCGCCTATTTGCATCTGCTGTTAGGCTGAGGATCATTTTAATAAATAACAATGAACAGGAATGGCATCTAGAGGGCTTGTCGGCAACATTTAAAAGCCAATAGAGTTTATAATTCTACTCTATCATTTCTTATTGATTAGAGTAATCAAGATAAAAAGCTAGCCGGGCTCAGAGAACTTCAGCAGCATATCATTAAAGATAAGAGTCAGTTAATTCTGGATCTGGGGTAATGTGGCTGAAATGAAGAGTTCATTTGCATGAGATGCTGAGCCCAGTAACAAGGGGACAAAAATCACTAATTAGGATTGCACAGTGTCGGCCTCTCGGCAAGCACCCTTTCCAGACTGCGGACCAAGCGGAGATTCGCGTTTATGTAAATCTGGGGAGGACTAAAAGCTTTCACTGGCTTTGTAGAAGGCGATAATCACCCCTGCCCTCTACCACGTCCTCCCGACCCCGAGGAGCCCAACTGGGGCGAGGGCTGGGGTTACTCCCGACAGGATCCCCTTCTTCCCTGTCCATCCTACCCCCACGCCCGCGGCCACGCGAAGGCGTCCCACCCACCCACTTAGGGGGCACGTGGGCGAGTGTCTGGTGCTCGGGTGAATGGAACCCGCCCCCCAGTCCTTACTGCGGGCTCTGGTCTAGTGCGTGAGGATCCTTGGAAAGGTCGCAACTCCGGTGCAGCGCCCGCAGGGTGAAGGGCGCGAGTATAGTCGGGCCCTAAGGGAAACTCGGGACATCTGCACAGACGGGAATCCCCAAGGAGGCCCAGGTCCCAAGGCCAAAGTCCTCGACCCCCACCCGGCTGGATCCCTCTAGTCCTCCCCCTCGCCAATCTGACCTGCCAATCCGGACGGAGCCAGTTCGCAGGCACCCAAGGGCGCAAGCTGGTATAGAGAGCGAACGCGGGGGTGCGCCTGGGTGCGCAGGAGTTTGTACGTGTGTGTGTGTATGCGTGTGCAGGTGAGTCCAGCTCTCGTGTAAATGTGAATCTACATAACCTTGCTGCTGCGTAAATGTGTTTTTTCTTGGTATAGACGCAAATGTGTGAACGTTGGTCTAAATGGTATGTAGTGTGTAGTAATAGTACACATGTGATGTGGTGTGTGCAGTGTGTGATGTGCGTGTGGTGCGAATAGGGGAGGTGACAGGCCGGAGAGGTTCCCCCAAAGGGAGCGGCGGCACAGAAGGCTTCCCTTCCCGGGTGAGGGTGCCTGGGGGTGAGGCGGGAAATGGGCACTGCCTCCGAGCCCCCACCCCCGCCCCGTGCCTCGAGGGGCTGAGGCGCGAGCCCAGAGCCGGGCCGCGGGCCGCAGCGACGTCTTCGGGGCCCGGTGAGGTCGGACGAGGCGCAGAAGGAACCACCTCACCGCGGGCGACCAAGAGAAGCTGCCTTACCTCCGAACCTGCCAGGGGAGGCTCCCTCTACCCACCCCGGGAAAATCAAAGTAGCCCCAGAAGCACAAGTCGGCCTGCGGAGCGGCAGAGCGCGGAAAGGCCGCTGACCGCCAGGACCGCGCGTGCATCCGGCCGCCCCGGCCCCTTCTCCGCCAGAGGAGTTTGGACTTCAGGCCCTCCGCGGCCCTCCCAGAGCGAAGGGAGGCTCGGGCTGCGGCCCCCGAGTCCCTGGGCGCCGGAGCAGTTCCCGCCCTCGAAGTTCCTCTCCGTAGTGAGGGAGGGAGGGAGAGAGGGAATGAGGGAGGGAGGGAGAAAGGGAGGAGCGCCCGGCTGCCGGTGCGACCCCTCCCGGAGATGCGGCGGCCGCGCCCGGAGTCCGCCCTGCAGCTGGCTGTGCCCGGCCTTCTTAGAACTAACTTTGCCCCTCACTTGGCTGCAGCAGGAAGCAATCCAGGCCCCGGTCAATAATCGCACAAGTGTCGGCGTGGAAAGTAGCCGCGAGTGCACACTCACGGGTTTCACTGCGCGGCCTCCCGCGGCTTCGAAGCCGCTGCGTCCGCCTCGCCCGCGACCCACGGAGCCCGTGCGCGCGTGCCCCACACACATGCGCCCGCTCGAGGACCCAGTCACCGAGGTCGCGCGGCCCCAGAGCTGCGGGGGCGGTGGGCAGGGGGCGCAGGGGGTGGCCATCGCGGCGGCTGAACCCCAGCGGGCGAGGCCCAGCAGCCCGCGGGGCCGGGAGCGGGAGGTACGGTCCAGGGGCGCGTTTCTTTCGCATCCACACCCCGCCCCCACCCCTCTCTCCAGGGATTTCTTTTTTTTTTTTTTTTTTATCCTGGCACAGCTGGGGGCTCCCTCACCACCCACCCCTGGCCTCCCCATACAGAATAAAGTCAGTCTGTATTTAATGGTTATGGCGGATGTGAGGGGGATTTGGCAGAGGCAGAAGAGAGGCCTTTCGCTCTCAAATATCGCCCCTTACGTCGTGTGAGTCTACCAACCCACCACGACCTCATATTCTTGTGCGGGTGTCTGACTCGAATGACAAGCGAGCTGATTTTTTCAGTACATAGCTGGGAAATGTAGTGAGTGATAATAGAGATTTCTCTTTCATTTTTTACGCTTGACTTGGTTATTGTTGCTTTTCTTTTCCCGTGATTCCTTCTGAGGATTAGCTCTGACTTCCCCACTATTGGCGGTCAAAGTGGCCCGGACTCAGGATGACAATTGACGGGGATCAAGGGATTGCCCATTCTGTGCCTGTAAGAACCGATTCGTGCCAGAGAAACTCATCAAGTGGAGGCGGAGAATAAAGACCGTTCGGGGGTAAATGTATTCATTGAGAAGGGTTCTCCCAAATTGCTTCTAAGTTTTTTTAATGAAAAGTAACGATTGCGGCAATCAGCGGCTTTTTTGGCGGATTACAAATCTGGAAGGAGCTGCGGCGCTGCATTGAAAAGTGCCCCCGCCTTCGCACGGGGCAGCCGGTTCACAGGAGCAGCGCGAGGGGTGGGGGTCCGGTCGCGGGACAAAGGCGGGGAGGGGGCGAGCGGAGGAGGGCGGCTAGGGCGCCGGGGCACGCACGGGGCTGGAGACGCGGAGGTGCCCACCCCGGCGCAGGTGTGGCGGGGCACCCCCCACCGAGGAAGGCGAGGGGCAGGGTGCGGGAAGGGGGCCCAGGGAGGTCGACCGCAGCACCACCAGCGCGGGGGAGATTCAGGGCGTCTGGAGCGAGGAAGGTGTGCGAGAAGGGTAGAGCCCATCACCGTGGAAGTCCGGGGAATGGGAGGTGCGACCCAGTCCCCCACCTTTACCCCGGGCACGCAGGTGTCTTCTTTTAAAAACGCCTCATTTTGCAACTGGAACCGAAGCATGGGCTGGGGTCGTGTCTTCCCAGTGTTACAGGCAGGAGGAGGGAAAACTGAGTCCTTCCTGGGATGGTGCGGGACCCCCACACGCAAGACTCCACTGAGCTCGACTGGCGCAGGGGCGGATCCCTTCTCCCAAATGCTTCCGAATGGCGCGTCCTGGTCCCCTCGGCCACACGGACCCTGGACGCACGCCCTGGCCCTGGCAGCCTCCGGGGACAAGGTCTCCAGGCCCGCCCGGCACCCTGGCCTAGGCCGCAACGCCCCTCGGCCGGGGGAGTCGCCTCGCAAGATGAGCAAGGGACACACTAGAGGGCAGGGACAAATCGCTGTTCCCACAGAGGCCGAAAGCAGCAGCAGCAGCAGCCTCAGGCAGCCGCATTCAGCCTGACTTTTTATACATTTATTTTTTAAATAGTGCATCTTAGCAGGGGGGTGGGAGGTACGTTTCTTCCCCCTGACTTCTTTAAGGCTCTCTGAAGTAAATGGGGGGGGGGGGCGGGAGCAGAGAAACAAGGGTGGAGAAGAGGAGAAGAAAAAGACTCTCCCTCTCCTTCCCCCCTCCTCAAGTTTAAGAATAAATCCAGCAGGCGAGTCCGCAGCCCTGAAGGTTTAACTTTTTTTCTTTGCAGCTTGTCAATGCGACCATTGCTTTGATGGGAGGCTCCTCAAGGTGACACATTTCTGAACTTCACCCTCTTTTCAAACTAACTCCCTACCTCCTTGTTAGTGGCCAGCTCTGAACTTCTGCAGAGTGTTTTTGTGTGAGTCAAGGCTCATTCACGGGCGCCTTTGTGGGCCTCTCCTCCTTTCAGGCCTCAGCGTGTTACACCAATTAAAGGGCGACGTGCTGTAAATGTAATGGGCCGCGCAGCGATTGTTTCTGACAAGCAACAAAACACATAGATCCACCCCTTAGATTAGGCCGTTGAAGGGGAGGTTGAGGCCGGTCAGTTTACTGAATAGTTTGTGAACTGTAATTCTGAGGGCTCATGTGAAGAAAAAAAAAAAGTCTCTTCCCACCTCCCTCCCTTGCTCCTCCTTTCCAAAAGCTCCAAAAAAGAAAAAAAAGACAAAGACAAAAAGCAAGTGACATCCATGGGGCAGAATGGGGTCACTAGAGAAAAAAAAACCTATGTGAGGGGCTTGGTCTGTTACTTGGACAGTCCTGAGAGCCCCTTCAGCTCTTTGCCCTCCCCCTTAGTCTTTGAAAACGACCAGCATCCAGCCTGGCCCTCAGTTTTACTAGCCACAGCAGCCTTCTCCTCTGATGGCAGGCCTGACACCCACCCCCGCCCCCCACATGAGGACTTGAGATCAGGGTGGGAGTGAGAGAAAAGCTGTCTTGGAGAATTCCGCTGGGGTTTGACCTGGTCCTGATGGGACACTGATAAGTCACGGGCTGTGGATACTCCCACCCATCCTTCCCCTGGAAGGACCCTCACCCTCTGGCTCCCTCTCCAGCCCTGAGTTCTTTCTGCAGCCTCGGGTGCAGCAGAGGCCTGGGCTGTCTCTAGCCTCCTGGGATTTCCTCCTCTTTTCCAGCACCTGCCGTCCATCCTGGGTTCCTGCAACTCTGTCATCACCTGAGCTTCAAGGAGCACAATTCATCTGGAAAGGAGAGGGTTAGAGATTATCTGCTCCATCATCCTCACAAATTCTGGGGTCCAGAGGAGTGACTGGACCAAAATCACCAAGCCAGGCACTGAGCTACAACTGGAATTCAGCTCTCTCACCTGCCAGGCCAGGCCACCCCATCCCACAGATCACCACCTTCCCACACCTCACTATCTGACCTCCTGAACCTGCCCAAAAGACCCTTACCCCTGATCTCAAGGATGGCAGCCTTTCAGATCCCATTGTCTTCACCTTCAGGTGATCCCAGCTCCTAAGGCTTTATGCAGGTGTTCCTTCCCCAGCTCCCCCAGCTTCCATCCTGCCCACCTCTGCACATCTCCAGCCTTCTCAGCCCAGCTCAGTTGAGCAAACTGTTATTGACTGTCAGTTACGTACAGCAGATGTTTTGCCTTTTCTATGAAACTTCCCTGGCTACTCTTCCTCAGAATGCCCCTCTCCGCTGAGACTCCTCTACCTCCCTTGCCCATCACTTTCTGTTTGGAAACCTATGCATTATTCAAGCCCCTGCTCACATAACGTTTCTGTAAAGCTGTGCCAGGGTGGAAAAACACCAAGGGAGGAAAGTGACCCTGATGGAGGAACTGACTGAAGTCCAGTGTGGCTGGAGCAGAATGAGGGGGAGGAGAGGGGCAAAGGTCAAGTTTCAAACAGCCTTGTGGGCCACACAGGGATTTGGGATTTCAACCTGGAAGCAATGGGAAGCATTGAACCCTTGTCTAGACTGAAATTCTGGAGAATAGAAACTACATGCTTTTCATCTTTGTGTCCCTCTACTCCTGCCAATGTCTGGCACACGATGCTCAAGAACCTTTTGCTGAAACTATGAACCGATAACTCAATAAACACATACCACCCAGCCCTTCCTTAGCTCTTCATGGTGGCTAACCAGGTTGTAAGGAACCAAGAAGACAGAAACCAAGTCAGTGTCTCGGAATTCTCCACAGTACCTGCTTGATACTGGATTCATGCTAGGAATACAGTACTCGTCCTTTGGTATCCATGAGGGATTGAGGCCAGGACATCGCCTCACATCTAAATTTGAGGATGGACCGGGTGCCGTGGCTCACGACTATAATTCCAGCACTTTGGGAGGCCGACATGGGCAGATCACTTGAGGTCAGGAGTTCAAGACCAGCCTGGCTGACATGGTGAAACCCCATCTCTGCTAAAAATACAAAAATTAGCCAGATGTGGTGGTGTGCACCTATAGTCCCAGCTGCTTGGGAGGCTGAGGCAGGAGAATCGCTTGAACCCAGGAGACAGAGATTGCAGTGAACCATGATTGTTCCACTGTACTCCAGCCTGGGAGACAGAGTGAGACTTCATCTGGGAAAAAAAAAAAAAAATGAGGATGCTCAAGTCCCTGATATAAAAGTGTAGTATTTGCATATAAACTATGTACATCTTCCTATATACTTTAAACCACCTCTAGATGTAATACCTAATACAATGCCCGCACATCAGTTATAAGGAATTCAATGTAGTATTCAGTGCCACAGTTTCAAGTGTGTTTGCTTTTTCAAAACTTTGTGGAAATTTTTTTCCAAATATTTTTGATCTGCAATCTGCAGAATGTACAAATGCAAAACCTACAAATACAGAGGACTGACTGTCCTCTCCTGTCCACTGACTAATGGTATGCAAGGGGAAGAATTCAAAATCAGGAGGCCAGATTCTGAGGACACTTCTTGTCCTTGCCAGTAACTAATGGCCTCACCTTGGGAACTCATTGCTTAACTGCTCTGAAGGCTTGGTTTCTTCATTAATAAAATGGGACAATGACAATACCATTTAATTCATGGATTGTGAGAACTAAATAGCACCACTTGTATGTGAATGACTTGATTTTGAAGGAATACATTAATGAATGAAAATTAGTGCATGTCCTGGAGCCAGGGTAAGACCACTGATGACGGGCGCCACTTTAAAATAACAAAAGACAGCCCCAGAGCAAGTGAGATCCTTGGAGAGCTGCTCTGTCTCCCATTGCAGACTTCCCCTCTTTTGCAGTTGGCCCAGGACACAGCTGGTCCCACATCTTCCCCTGAGGCGTGCCACCCCGGCTGACACCCTTCACACTTGGCTGCCTACACTCCTGCTCTAAGAACCCTGTTTCAAAGAAGCCCACATTCCCTTGTTGCACGTAGAAGGCTGCACTTGGAGATGGGACAACTAGATTCTGGGAAGCCATGACAGAAATCACGCAGACTCTGATTCCCGCCGAGAACCAGGCTAAAGAACCACTCATGGCAAGATGGGGCCCACCAGCCTGCTGGCTTCTCACCAAACTCTACTCCACATTGACTGTGGGCTCTTGTTCTAGAGGCCCCCACATCCTCAGGATGAAATGTGAGTACAAGAGCAGAGACTGCCAGACTGCCGGTGCTGTGTGTGTGTGTGTGTGTGTGTGTGTGTGTGCGCATATGCGTGTCCACAGCAATTAGCCTCTTATACACATAGTGGGGAAAAATAATCCCCAAAGAGGAAATAAAGAAGTCTTTTTGTTTAAGTTTCTATGTCCAAATCAAATTCTTCTTTAAAAGCTATCTTGGTCAGGCACAGTGGCTCACGTCTGTAATCCTAGCACTTTGGGAGGCTGAGGTGGGCAGATTGTCTGAGCTCAAGAGTTCAAGACCAGCCTGGGCAACACGGTGAAACCCTGTCTCTACTAAAATACAAAAAATTAGCCAGGCATGGTGGTGACTGAGGCAGGAGAATTGCTTGAACCAGGAGGCAGAAGTTGCAGTAAGCTGAGATTGTGCCACTGCACTCCAGCCTGGGCAACAAAGCGAGACTCCATCTCCAAAAAAAAAGTATCTCCACATTTCCATTTTCATTCAAAGACAGAAAGGAGAGACACAGGCTTTTTACCCTTGTAGTGCCTTCATCTAAAGAGATTTTTAAGCTCAAGGAGCAGATGTAGAAGCTAATGTTTGTAAAACCCGATGAACTGTCAGCGAGCCACCACCCTGCCAGGGAGAGCACAAGGGGGTAAAGGGGGCATGCCCGTCTGGGGTGGGGATTGTCTGGCAAGCTTGTCCTCCCTGTGGAGCTGCTTTCCTGTCCCTGGGCTGAGCAGATGCCCAGCCAGAGGCCTGAGGTCTCAGAAGCTATCATGGGACCCAGTGAGTCTTAGAAACCTTTCACTCCAACCTGATGTGGATACTGCTAAATGCTTTCCAGAGCCCCACACAGTGAAAGCTAGGGATTCGTGCCCATGCTTTACCGATCCCTTAGCCACTAGGAATGCATGTTGCTTCAGCTCAGTGGCAGCTAGTGCAATCCTAAGTGACCTCAGTCAAGGGTTCTAGACTTTTTGTTCATATTTTCTCTCACTCAATTGCTCCCAGACATGGTCTCTTTCTCAGCAAATGGGGTCATTCATTTTCATAGTAGGTTAAACTTTGGTGATTGGGGTTCCAAGAGGTGGAGGGGGGAGTTGACAAGTAGTGTGGGAGAGTACAAGGTCTGGAGGAATTTCTCAGGAGTCCGGGGAAGACAGTAGCTGTAGAAGAAAGGACTGAGAGCCTCAGAGGTCTCTGGCCGATCCCTGGAGAAGCAGATCCCAACATGGCCTGCAGACTGAACTGTGGCCTGCAGACTGAACTGAGTGTGGCCCTGTGAGAGCTGAGACACACTCGTGTTGCCAGCGGATGAAAGGTGGAGGAGGCAGAAACCTAAACAAGTGAATTCAATTGCATCTGAAAAAGAATAGGCAAAATCAGGATTCATTCCTTGGGCCAGTTCCAGGAAATATTTGTGAAAAGTTGGTTGAAAGAATACCACCATCCAAACCATCCATTTCGCTATTATGTAAAAGCCCCAATTCCTTTGCAATTTCTGATTAAAAAATGCTTTCCTCATTTTGTCTTTGCCACTGGTGTGTGACATCTTAATTTAATTTTGGGTTTTGCTCATACAAACCAATGGCTGTGGAAACTTTTTCCTGTGGTGCAGCAAAGACAGGGGAAAAGTAGAATATCAGTAATTATATTTTGTGCACTTAATTTATTTAATTAGTAATTATCAAGCACCCTTAATGGTTCATAGCCATCAACTGGGTTTATATTAGAGGATATCAGCCTGCTTCAGATATCCTTCATGTGTGTCTCCAAGATGCAGAAAGAAGGAACGTGTCCTTAGGTGAGATATTAGTGGACTGAGGTACCATCCATCATCCTGATGCCCTAATCATTTCCTGCTGCCTTCTGCCTCTGCTGTGTCCCCAGTTGGAGCCCCATCAGTGATGCCACTGCCCAATTTGCCCAAGTAGCCAGCCAGTATGGGAGTAAAGACCCAAATATCTCATATTTTTAAAATTAATTTTTTACCTGTCACCTGCCTGAGCTGGTAAAGAAAATGTTTCTTCAATTCGTCTTCTCAGAGACTGCTGTTAGCCCTTTGAGGGAACTCACATGTCTATGGGAAATGTTACACATTTGGAATGAACAGAAACTAAATTAGGCAGAGAGCTCAGATTTAGAATACAGTACATGGTGCATTTTTTGGTCATGTGCCATTTCATGGTGGATAGAATTCATGATGGATAGAATCCATGGCTGCAGCATATAGTTGCATAGGTTTCACACTGCACTGTGCTGGAGGAAAACATTCACATATACTATGGATACACAGAATTGTGTCTTCTGCTCATAGGGGTAGGAGGTGAGAACAGAGGGGTCCTTCCCATCATTTATTTCAGCAACTAAAGAAAACTGTGATAGATGTTGAAAGTAGTGTACGTATTTGGGATGAAATAACAACCTTTTTTTTAACTTTTATTTATTTTTGAGATGGAGTCTCACTCTTATTGCCCAGGCTGGAATGCAATGGCAGGATCTTAGCTCGCTGCAACCTCCACCTCCTTGGTTTAAGCAATTCTCTTGCCTCAGCCTCCTAAGCAGCTGGGATTACAGGTACCTGCCACCATGTCCAGCTAATTTTTTATATTTTTAGTAGAGGTGGGGTTTCACTATGTTGGCCAGAAGGTCTCAAACTCCTGACCTCAAGTGATCCACCAGCCTCAGCCTCCCAAATTGCGGGGATTACAGGCATGAGCCACCTCACCTGGCCTGAAATAACAATTTTTAAGTTCTAGACTAAGGCAACTTGGGTTCAAACTGCCTCTGCCATATTGCTAAACCTCTCCATTTCTTATCTATAAAATAATAGATAACATTGAATAATAAGAGTAACCATGCATAGGTTTATGAGAATTAAATGAGTTGATACATGTAAAGATCTTAGAATAGTATCTGGCACATAGTAATGGCTGAATTAATATTAGCTATTGTTATCATTATTCTTTGATGTGTTGGAAAAGATACGCATTTCCCTCCTATTGTGGGAAGAAATCAGAAAACAAGGTTCCCACTGTTCTGTTTAGAAAAGACTATAGGCCCTGCATGGCCAGGCAGGAAGAGGAAAGGCACTCAAGTAGGACAGAACCCAGTTTATTTCTGTCGTAACCACCTATTGTGATCTTGGCCACATCCTCTACAAGCTGCGATTTCTTCAAATGCAGATTGAGGACAGTAATAGTATCTACCTTGCAAAGTTGTTATGAGGATTAAAGACAAAACATGGAAAGTGTCCAACACAGTGCCTGACCCTTCATAGGCTCTCAGACAGTATTTGTTACTGTTAGATTGAAGTTAAACCAAGACATGGCATCTGGATGAGGCTGTTTAAAAAAAAAAAAAAAAAAAAAAAGCAGGATCACTGAGGATATTCCAGCCTCAGTGACAAAAGGAAAAAACAAACTTGCCAACTCCCAGCCAAGAGCAGTGATCTGAAAATCTTGATGTGGGATTTGTGTTCAGTTCCCAGCCCTTTTCTGGACTGCTGGACCCTTGTGTATTTGTCCAGCTTCCTCCACTTCCTTCTAGTCCTGGTCAGAGATGACATTGGCAGGGACTGAGAAAGCCCATCAGGCAAAGGTGCAGCACCTCCCCAGTGCCTTTTTGATGTATGAGGGTGTGTCAACTACCAGACTGTCAGCTCCATGAAGGCAGGGACCATGGCTGTTCCTGTTCAACAACGTACTCTTTGGTAAATATTTCTTGAATAAGTTTTAAAAAATAGA